GAATTGTTGCACGGCAATGATCGAGTGGCTCGCGCAAAGCGGATCTCGTCTGTTCCGGATCGATGCATGCAGCTGGCTGCAGTATAACGTGTTATCAGGGCTATTCCGGCCGAGCAAGTCTAGATCTGACCTAGAACTCTCTCCGGGTAGAATCCGGCCGGAGTCCCCGACCCGGCCTGTGAAATCCTAACCTCCCCCCTCCCCTAAATCAACGCGAGGGGGGCATCGCGTGGAAACACGCCTTTAACGATAAAGGGCAGAGAAACTGGAACACTTTCGATGAACACGGTTCAAATGCTAGGATGCACGCAGCGTGATCTAATTTTCTGATAGGGTTTCGAGTCAGCTGGCTACGGGTGGACCTTTCGATTGACCTCTTCTCATCCTATTCGAGCTCGTCGTTCCTTCGAGTATCTATTTTCTTTCCTTTTTTTTTTTTTTTTTTTTTTGCTTCTGTTTCCCCGCGGGGGGGGGTGCTTTCCGTCTTTTTTTTTGGAACTCTTGGTTTTGATTTTTACTTTTTTTTTTTTTTCTTTTTTTTTTTTTTTTTTTTAGCTTCTGGTTCTCCGCGTGGGCGGAGTCTATCCGTCATTTATTTTCGTACGCTTCGTTTTGAATTTTAGTTATTTTTCTTTTTCTTCTTTTTTTAACGGTAATTATTTAGTTGAGAAGATATCAGCCTTGATTCTGACGGTTTTATATTTTATTTGTTTGCTTCGTGAAAATTTATTCTTCGAAACAGTATAGGTTAGGTCGAGTGGATTTTTATTCAATTTTGATTGCGAAGTGAAATTGAATTTAAGAATTAAGTTAATCGGTGTCGAATAAAAATTTATTTAATTTCGTGGTTTTATATTAGATTTAGGTTAATAGGTTTTTTTTGATAATAATTTTTCAATGAACAATTGTCAATAAAAGCTTGACAACGTTGTTCAACATGATGATCTTGTTCCTCAATATCTAATTCTTAATTTTGTTTCTTAATTTTTATTTTGGATTTCGATTAATTTTCAAAAAAAAATTTCCTTTCCACGAATTAAGTGAATAAGCTTGAAAATATTATATCTTCGATTATATAAAATTTTTCATGGACGTGTCAAGTCACTGACAGAATTATATTCCAAACAAAGAAGCGTGAAATATTTCGTGTAACTGAACGACAAATCGACGACAATAAATCATGCGAAACGACGTGGGTGGGCGGTATCTCGCTCCTTTAAAGCGTTAAATTGGTTAAACGTCGACTTCTAGAGGTCTCTAACGATGAAAGAAAAGAATTCCCCTTAGAATTCTGGCACGTTATTTTGGCACGAACAAATTCGACCATATTCTTGATATTATTTTTCGCTCTATTAATACTATTTCCATTTCATCCTATGTAATTAATTTTTCTCATAATTTCCGATCGTTCGTCCCTTTGATCGTTCTCGAATTATAGTAAATTTTTGTGAATTTGATTAGTGGATTTCGAATTTCATTTTGGATCTTGAAGATTCTATTTTTGTTCAAAAATCTCATTAAAATTTTCATTAAAATTTTAATTTTTGCCGAAGGATTTAAAAGGATAAAATTTTGAAGACTTTTTACCTTGCACTTTTTAATTTTTAGTACTTAACTTTTTAGAATTTTTTTTTTCAATCTTTTTAGCTTGGAACTTTTATATTTAAATATAAACTTTTTTAAGGACAGAAGATGTGAAAGAGCATAATAGAATGACGTGTATGAGAAAAAATAACACTTTCATTCGGCCCATTCATGAAAAATGGAATTAATATACGAAACATGTTTCCAATAATAATATAAAGCACTGAAGATTATTTTTTGTCTTTGCACAGAATTATAAAAGAATTATTATAATATATATAAATATTCATTTTATGTTTGAAAAACAGTCGTGCAACTACGTAATCCACATGCAAAGTTTCTTTTTCAATGGTGAAAATCCTGGAAAGGATACTCTATTTATTCTCGTTCTTCCTATTACAATTTTTATTCTAATTACAACTACCTTATTCCATTTTCTCAAATTACCTCGTACGCGAAGAAAAAAAAAAGGAAAAAAAGAAAAAGAATTATTATAATTCCTCTATAGAGAATAGAGTACAGTAAATATTCACCCTTTTCCAAGATGTTCACCCGACTTAAACTTAAACCTTATTAAAAAGAGAATTACGCAATTCCCCTATGGAGGATATTAAATATTCAATGTTTCTGAGAAAACAGCATCGTGTCGTTGCTTTTATCCGGAAGAATGATCATCCAAGGCCCTCCATTAATAATTATATTTTCTCGTGCGTAATATTGACGCAAGGGGGATATCGAGTTAAACTCGAGTACGTTTCCTTTTGAAATCGATTCGTGTCGTCACTGTTTCAGAAAATAATTAAATAATTAATTTAATCTTAATCTATGAATTTCCATCTATTTAAAATCTATCTTGTGAATCGTGTATTGAAATTCAAGCGTGAACAAATACTTGGAACAAGAATTGCATCATATTACATATTCATCTTGTCGAATCAAAATTTGTAATTCACATTTATTATAATTTTCCTCTCCGTGCACCTTTTATGTAAATTATCACAAATAAATACCAACAGTTATTCCTAAACGTGTATTCACAAATTCATTCGAATTCATGAACTTGATGATTGATCTTCACCTCATCATGTGATCTATAAATACGTACTACGATTCTCGAAATGCTCGGATGGTTGGAAACGAATTTAGAACCACTTCTCCAGGAGGTGATTTCCTGGAGCGTAAACTCCATGGGGGAAATACACGTCATATTTCTTTCGACTTTCAATCTCTTCAATTTAATTGGAAAATTAAATATTTATTTTTTTTCCCTTCCTCCTCGAACTTCCAAAATGGATGCATTGATGATGAGATATATTTTAAGAAGAAGAATTAGATTTTTATTAAAATTTATTAAAATTTATTAAAATTTTTAAAATCCAGTAGATAATACATAGAAATGAGGCAATAAAGATGGACTCTCCCCCCTCCCTTTCCTTCTCTCTCTTTGCACGAAATAGCTCATAATATCAGATTGCGTCTCCCTGGTGGCCATCACCGAAATTAAACGCCATCTGGCGCTCAAAGCGAGAGGCGTTGGAGCCGATGTCTCTCTATTGTCTCCATTGTTCGTGTCGCGGCCATTTACGGAGGCGCGTTTCGACCCTATTTGCAAAGCCAGCTATGCGAATTAATCGCCCATGGCTAATTTGATCCGAACAATTCACCAATTAATGATCGATGATGAATGGTGTTTCGAGATTTAATTTCGTTCGGGATTAAAAAATGAATTCGTGAATTATTGGAATTAATCTTGGAGCATTCGTTCGAAATTATTGGAAATTTTGTTCTACTGTGGACATAATATTTATATATTTTCTAGGTTAGTTATTTAAGGGAAATTTTTAATTTAATTTTTTATTTGCTTGCTTTTTGAATTAATTTTTTTTTTTTTTGAAAATTAAATTTAATTGGAAATCTTAATCGAAATTGGTTTTTCCATCTTTACACCAATAGTTATTATTCCTGAATGAGTGGTAGCCTCCTTTTTCTCACGTGTTGTTTAGAATTCTTTTTTTAGAATTCTTTGAATAAAGGTGAATGATAATCAAATTAAATTAAATCTTGTTTTTAATCATATCGAATCAACAAATATAATGCATCGAATATATCGATTAATAGATATATATTCAGCTCGTTGGTAATTGAAGTATCGAGTGATTTTGAAAATTTGAATCAGTTTTTTCCGCATCGATAGCTCTTCTAACAATAGATCCCGAAATCATTTTAACCGAAACCATTGTGATTCCATGGCCAGAGTACATCGATGATCCACAACTTGAAAATATCATCATTTATAACACGTTTTTAGAAAATTGAAAATTGAAAATCTGTATCAAAGTGTCGACGATTTCGAAATCATCAACATTTTCCACAAAGGCTACTTTTGGGAAAAAGTTCTTTAAAAAAAAAGAATTTCTTCTTCAAAAGATTGATTGAGCTCGTTTCGTTTGAATTTTGCTTGAAATTCCTAAAAATGAATTTTTCGTAAGCAACAATCACGATATTCGAACGATCAAAGAGAATATCGTCGATCTGACGTAAAAGTATAGCAATCGCGTTAACGAGCACGCTAGGATCGATACTGACGATTGGATCAACCTGTGACGCTAAACGAATCGATCTTTCGCGCGAAGATATAGTCATTCACCGATTTTTCCTAAATGCATGGAACTGGAACGAAGCCAGGCCAGTTGGGAACACAAAAGAACGTTTCGTGAAAAATTGATTACCAGTGTGATTGAACGTGGACAAGTCTTAACACATTTCAAATCGATAACTTATGATTGACGTGTCAATTTCGATCATCACGAGAATCTCTGTGTGCAATAATTATATTTATACGACAGTTCTTTAAAAAAATTGAACGCAGCTGTATAATTTTGCTCCTTTTATTATATAGAACGATTTCGATTTAATTTTGATGGATGGTCACTTGGATCTCGTTTATTAATAGAATTTTATTAATGAAACATTTAAATAAAAAAAGTTTTTTAGAAATTTTGATCTGACGATTAAGGTTAAATCAGACTGGGAACAGATTCAGACAACGATTCGGTATTCCTGATTAGAGACTCACGCGAATGCATGCTAATCCTTGAGATTCCAAATGTTTCTGGGTTAATCTGTCAGGTTATCTGATCGATGGAGAAACTGGATAAGCCTAATACACGATTAAAATTATTTCAGACTCGCTCGTATATTTACTTCCACGATGATAAATTTGTCGAAACAATTGTTTGTTCAACAAAATAACATAGTATAAATTTTAATCGAAAATCGACCAAAATTCAAACTCTCGTTTAAAAATTCACAAAAAAAATATTAGTAACTAAAAAAAGGTACTCCAAAAGAAAGACCGGGACTCTAAAGAAAGAGTCAAAGAAAGCATCGCAAGACACAGACTTTCGCTCTTTCAGCCCTCAGATCAACGAGGCATCGTAACAAATCCGAAACACGTTTGACACGCGTGGCCAACCTGGCAGAGGCACTTCTCACTGCGATGACCCCGGAGATCCGGCAAGGATCGGGATTCCATCATCATCCCTGACCCGGGATAACCACGAAATTGCCAGCATTGCGACCAGCAGCCACCCAACCAATCGTCCCTATTCAAAACCCTCCATCTCGTCAATCCCCTTTCCCTTTGTCGATAAATATCTCACCTCTACATAACCGACCGAGTAACTAGAAATTTCCACAAAATGGACGACGACGACACGGAAGAGAAGCGGGAATCCCTGACCCTGGTGAACAAGCTCTCTCGCAAAGAGACGAAAACTAAATTGCTAGTCTCATCCTCGAAACTCGTGTCCATGAGCTCGAAGCTCGAGGCAAGGCAACGAAACTCCACGGAAAGCTCGGACACCATGGAATGCGCATCCGAGAACGAAGTGGAGAACATACCAAAGGACGAGGAAGCGTCTGAGCCCCTGGTCACCGACGAGAAAGGGAACAGAATCTGTGGCGGGGATCGTCGTTCCTTGGACGTTGCCCAAGAAGAAGAAGGTGAGACGCTGGTCACCAGTAGTAGCCGCCAACACACCGTGACGAAGACTAGCCTGAAAGTGTGCGAGGAGGAGGGCAGGCCGGTGAGGTTTCCCGGAATCAGGCTAGGTTTCTTCCATCGAAGCCCTCAATCCTCGTCCAGTCAGGAGGACTACGAGCCCGAGGTGAAGAGCCTGTCGAAACTTGAGAAGCAACAGCCTCAACAGCATCTGTTGACCGCGAGAGGCAGCGGCCAGAGCAGCAGCCAGATAACGGCCAAGTCGATGGAAAGTCTGAGAACGTCGAGGAATTTTCTGAGCGCTGACGAACGCTACGTGGACGACTCCAAATCCTTGGAATCCTTGTCAGAGTCTCACGTCTCTGCCGTCTCGAAATCTCACTACAGAAGCTTTTTGACCTCGTCCACCAGAGACGTGAGGAGGATAGTGACCGTTGAGTCGAAAAGCAGCGACAATCTTCACAGGGAGGAGAGCCTGAACGCAGAGGTTAGACGCGGGCTTTTCGCTAACACGGGGCTGGAGAGGAAGATCCCTCAGAATCTGAGCCTGCCACCCCCCTCAAACGTGTTTTCGTTGACCAGCCCGGGCGGCAGCGACAGAAAGATCACTATACTCAGCCCTCACTCGCCGCTCCAGACGACCGAGTTCCAGTTCTCCCAGACGTTAAAGGCCAGGCGTAAGAAGGCCATCGTCTTGCCGAGGTTGGTGTTGCCCAGAAGCGAATCCGACGTGTTCTTCTCCGAGTGAGTAGCCGGACAACAAGTGGCAAATGGCCACGGTATTTAGGCCTCGGATACGTCGGTTTGCTCTTGCGCTTTGGGCCTGGGATCACGCGCGGCTTCCTTTAATTTCACGACATAATTCTCTCGCAAAATGGTTTCGTTAAGTGATCGTGGCAAGAATTGGAAAATATCGGATAATATTCGAGTTCGAATTCGAATTTTCAAAACGTAGTAATTGCTTGTTTTAACTATTTTTGGATTGTTTTAAAATTGATCATGTTTGAAACTGTTTGAACATGTTTGAAACTGTTTGAACATGTTTGAAATTGTTTGAACATGTTTGAAACTGTTTGAACATGTTTGAAACTGTTTGAGCATGTTTGAAAACGGCAGGATACGATATAACAGGATAGGATATCGTATCTGATGAGAGTGTTCTCGGGTATCCTCGATTTGTTATATTTAGATAAAGAAAGATAAAGTAACTTGAGTGATGTATCTATCTAGGAGGAGAAAATAGACGGTCTTGAAATTCAATTCGTAAATAAAATTTTCAAGCTTTAATCCACGTCACCCTGTCATTGATTAACTAAAGGTTCATCGGGAAGGAAAGTTGGCGCATGATCCTCCCTCTTTATCATCATTTCAAAAGGTCAGCTTTTAAACTGTAAATCCTTATCTTAGGATTTCGTTTCACGGAAAAACAAGGTTTACATTTAATTTATTCCACGATGGAAATGCGCGTAATTAAAGCTGAAGAAATTTTATATCGCGGATATTAAATCGCAAAAATTTATTTTTCTTCAACTTCGTACGTAAGGATGTTTATAAACTGTTTGCACTTTTTATTTTAAAATTTCTAA